TATTGCAGAAGAATTACCTATTATTATTATAAAGTTTACACGTGTTTTAATTAAATCTTTAGAAAAAAAATTTTCAAACTAAATTCAAGTTAATGTATTTCATATTTTTGATTCAATAGCCTTGCTAGTTGAAAATTCTTTATTTCAAAAATATAGTAAAAATGAAATTAAAATTTTAAGTAGTTTTTATAGTCAAAGCAAAAATATATCAGGAAATTTAATTCTTGCAATTTTAAATTCTGAAAATTTAAATCATGAATAGTCATCAGTTAGATTTCTTCTAACTAATTATAAAAATTTAAATTTTTTAGAAGCTTGAAAACATATTTTTTCTGATCTTTCTACTTTAATAAAATTTATTCTGAAACTACAAAGTTAATTTCTATTTTAGTTAATCTTCTTTTAACTAATACAGTTGTTGAACGTATTTTTTCTTGACAAAATTTAATTAAGACAAAACTTCGAAATCATATAAATATTTTTACTTTAAATTATCTTCTTCTTATTTCTTTTAATAAACCTAAATTAGAAAATTTTAATTTTCAATTAGCATATCAAGAATGGTGTAAACTTGATTATAGAATTAAATAGCTATATACATAAAACAGTATTAAATATATATAAAATTGTATAAATAAAGTATTTAAATTTTATATATATTTATATATATTAGATTATATTTACTAAAAATAAAATATAATAAATAGTATTATATAGTTAGTTTAAGAATTTCTATCTATGCTTTGTTAAACTTTTAGTAACTTGATTGATTAGATTTGATATTAGCTATATGTTAATTAAAAAAATTTGTTCTCGTACTTTCAATATAGGTTAGTAATATAATTAACTTATCAAGTAATAAATATATAGGATATTACTATAGTGCTAGTATAATATATTTTTTAATTTTATTAGGCCAGAATCTGATGAGTACATTATTTGCTGTGAAAAGACACAAGATGCATTAACCAAAATAAGTAAAGAAGTTTGGAAAAAGATTAAAGATGACAAGAGAAGTGATGAAAGTTGGGATCTCTACAAGCTAACGCAGATCATGACAAAGTCATATGAAAAAGAAAAACAAACTCAAAACGTCGAATGGCTGCGAGAAATCCTAAACGAAAATACTGCTAGAAAATTAAAGGAAGAAATTGGTGCAGAGAAATCTACTATAAAATTTTGGTGCATGTTCTGGAATCTATAGATAGAACAAGTATATTTAGAAGTCTGAATACCAAGATGCACAGATATGAATAATTAGGAAAAAGAAGAAATATCACCTAAAGACAAGAAAACTTGCAAAGTAAAGAAAACAAGAGAAAAGAATAAAGGAAAAAAGATAAACAAAGCAAGCCAAAATATACTTAATAAAAAACGAGTAGATGAGAACAGTAGGGTATTTAGTTTAGACTTTAAAATAGCGAAAGATAGTTTGTTGAAAGAAATTGTAAAAGGAGAAAAAGGTTTATAGACATAATTAGCAAATATGATAGGCTGTAGTATCCTTCCTTCGAGGTACTTTTAGGTACTCCTTCTAGGAATCTGAAAGTAAAGAGGTCAAAGGTCACTATAGCAGATTGTACTTAGGTACCATAATGGTAACTGAGTGAGTTAATACTTAGCAATAGTCACTAGACAGTAATATATACTAGATAGAAATGTTTTAGTCATAGATTAAAATTATTAATTCAATAAAGTATTAGCATAATTGCTGAAAAAAAAAAAATATATATATATATTTTTTAATTTCTGATAACAGTTAATTAGTAACTTTTACTATCTAATAACTTAACTCAAATAGTAAGTACAATTATCAATTTTCAGGTTTTATTTATCTAAATAGTAATTTATATATTTTGTTTATTCAATTTCTGACTAATTAAAATTTTGCTTTCAATTTATTGACTATTGAGAACAAGCTAGTATAATACAAATAATATTACTACTTATTGTATAAAAAGTAGTATGTGAAAACTTATTATATAGAAAATAAGCAAGAGATATCAAACCCTTTTCTAACTTCACAATGAAAAAAATTAGTCGATAAATTAGAAAACAAATTTTTCCCAGTAGAGAAAAGACAAAAAAAATTATTTTTCAATATAGTACTTAATAATAATATATTAATATTTTATATTTGAAAACATTTTAATAAAATTATGAACATTATTAAAAAATTAATGTTCTCTATAATGAACATTAAAAAATTTTTGAGAATATTAAAATTTTAAATTAAGTTTATTTGAGAATATAATTTAAAATTTGAATTTTAAGATTTGGTAATCTTAGTGTAGTAGTTAGGTTACCAGACCATTATGCAAGAAGTCTGAGGTTCAAATCCTACTATCAATGAATTTGAATAATTTTCTAGACCTTTGTACCTAACTTATAATAAACTCTGCTCGTTTCTGAGAGTTACAACTCTGTAAATTATGTTGTACTAATGTCAATTAGACATTAGAAGTATGATGCAATATTTGAGTTACATTACACAAATAAATCTTGATAGGATCTATATGCAGAAGATCTGCATAGTAGAAATTCTAAGTTTGGTGAAGTCATACAGATTTTAATAGTTAAACCAGTTAACGTCTGATCTAATGAAAAACCTGAGTATGAAAGATATAAGATCAATAGATATGAGTAAGTTTACTATATAACATAGCCTGGTACCTTGCATTAGTAGCAATACTAACTTGGCTTAGCAGCTAACTAGATTAGGAGGATCTACCTTATAAAACATCTGGCTAGAACTTGGAAGACTATATCTAGTAAACAGCTATAGCAGAAACTAAGTTCATATAAATATCAACAAGGGTCTAAACTAGATGAATCTGTGAAATAAACACATGATCACTCTAGTAGGAATTACTTCTGAGGTTAGCTAAAGCTCTGCAGCTCACAATATATTGAGCAATATGCACCTTGAAGAAGACTTAAGCCATGTAGTAAATAGATCTGCATGTAAGTCAACTGGCATAAGCGATCAGATATAATAGTGATATTAGTTTGGAATAGAGAGAAAGAGTTAATGATTAGAATGTTTAAATAGATAATTCACAGGCAGATTGCAGGTATAGTAGCATAGTATAGAACTAACAGATAGTCGATCATCTGTATGGCAGATTACTTAAATTAGATAATGACTAAAGTTGTACATATAGCTTGTTGTATACTCATCATATAACTGTAAAACCTTAGGAAACTATTTATGTAATAGTTCTGTAATAATAAACTAATAAAATTCAATCAGCTAAGGAAGTAGCCTTAATAAATAAATAAAAAAGAATTTTTTTGAATTTTAAATACTGGATACAACTATTATATCCTTATACAAAATCTTACAAATCAGCTCAACAACTCATAATTTCACTATTTATTAAAATATCTAAATCAGTATATAAGCAATTATAGAAACCCTACTATGCCAAACTCTTTGAATAAAAACAAACAAATAATATCAAATTTCATAAACAAAATTCTCAAACTAATATTATACAATCAAGTTTACCTCTAATATACTATAGCTTTAACTTAAATAAAATTAGCTATATATATGAATACTCTGAAAAACAACATAAAAATTCTCTTTGCCTTTCAGAAGAACTAGCATACTATAAACTTTATAATTGGTCTATTAAATAGATAAAATATAATATTTCAACTAATAACATAATTGATATTCAAATCTAGATAAGTCATGACCACTCTAGTAGATTTGGGTTACAGATAAATTAGTCTGAGTTTCAAATCTTATCATATAGTTAAAAATTATACCTTCTATTATCATAGTATATAAAGATTTCTTTTGTAAAATTTTTAATTATACTATTAATAAAGATAGAAACATAGTCTCATCTTGACTTTGCTTAAAAAAAAAAAAAAAAAAAAAAAAAAAATACAAAATAATTTTTTTGGTTTTCATAACATAAAATTTTAAAACAAACCTGGCTTTTTTTTCAACTTTTATATATAAAAATTGTATAAAATTTTTTTAAAAAAACCCGCCCAGTTATTATAACATATAAAAAAAAAGTTTCAAAAGTTTTAAAATTTGTTCCGGCTAGATTATGTAAACCAATAAAATTTTTTTGTATGGCATAAAGTAAACAAAAAATTTTTTTCGAATATTTAATAATAGTTATATACAATCACGCAATTAGATAACAAGTAAATTTTATATGATAACAGATAAATTTTATATGATAAAATTGATTAATTACATGTTATAAGTAGAAATAAAATTTTGATAAATTTGTAATTTTTAAAAATTCTAAAACTGTTTAATTATAAAATAATTACTACATAAGTTATGCTTTTATATTACTTTATAAACATATAAGCTAATTGGCGAAATTGGTTTATTTGAATCTATATTTAATTGGTTAAATATATTGTATAAAACAATCTCTTTATAAATTAAATTAATACACTAATAATTCAAATTTATATCTCATTAAATTATTTTAAAAATTTAATAATAATTCTTATCTGTTTAAATATCTACTAAGACAAATAATTTGACATTATTGGATTCACAACTCTATAATATTTAATATTATTTAGACAATATATAAAGTTTGGCAAATCCAAACACTACTTGAATTTGAATAAGTAAAGCATAACCTTTATATAATTCCTGATTTTAAAAGAAGTTGTTCATTTATAAACTTGGAAAATATAATAATGTAAAAATCCCTTTGAGTTTTTCAATCTCTTTTAATTTTCAATTCGTTCCTCTTTCAATTCTCCGATACGCTGCCTTAACCTATTACAATAATCTTTTGTTTTTTTGCCTTGATCTTCTGGTAGCTACACGATTCAAATATTTTCTTCTCAAACTTCTTTTATCCTCAGCTTCTTTATTATCATCACGGGATTTACAAAGATTAATTAAAATTACAAAAGAATTGAAAAATAAATTACTCAAAAAATAAAACTATTAAACAATCCATTCACTAATAATGATTTCAATCCACCTTCATATAACATTAATATTTTTACTCCTCCATATAATCTTTACTTTCTGTCCAATCTTCCATATCGACCTTTTTTCTTTTTCTCATTTTACCATCACCACCTTCAATATCTGCAATATACTCCTTTCCAACCTTTTCCCTCAATTCTTCAACATTCTTATCACTATCCGCATACTCAAGAACAAGATGTCTACCTAATAAGTGTGTGTTTTGTAACTGTTCCATCACATTTCTCGCATCTCTTTTTGTTAGGAATTCTATAAATGCGAATCCACGAGATGTACCATCAAATTTTTTTGGTAGACGAAGTGTTTTAATTTGACCATATGTGCTAGAATAAATAGTAAATATAGAAGTTGATAAAATTAATTTGACATTAAAAATAACCTAGGAAAAAAATTTTAACTCACCCGAATAATTCTTTCAATTCCTTTTTTGTTGTTTCAAAAGCGACATTTTTAACGATAATTTTCGTAGACTCCTGCTTCTTTTTCGTTATTTCATCCTCTTTTCGTTTTCTCTGGACAGTATCTAATCCACGATTTGAAAATTTTAATTGCAACGCATGACCATCCAACATATGTCCCTAAAAATATAATTAAACGTTAATACGTAAAGTTAATGTATTTTTTAATCAAATAAAAACAATATAGTGAAAAGAAATTCATTACCTGCATCGCCTTCAAAGCATTTTTTGCATTTTTCATATTATCATATTCAACAAACCCAAATCCCATACTCAACTTTTTACCAGGATTTTTAGGATCATTTTTTATTTTTATTTTAGCCGATTTCATACCAGAAGTATTTTTGAATATCTTTTTTAATTCTTCCTCAGTAGTATCAAAATTTAAATTCTTAACAAATAATGTAGCAGTTACATCAGATGTTTCATCCTCATCATCATTTATAGTAGTTTCAATTATATCCGTTGATGAAAGTACTTGTTTTGCATCATTTTCGGATTGTTTTGAGTTTACATCATTTTCACTTTTGAAAACATCGATTGGTGCTTTCTCCAGATATAGAGGAACTCTTTTAAATTTTTTATAAGCAAGATTTGTGAATGCGTTTCGGGCATCTGAAGGATTTAAGAATTCTATTAAAGCTATTGTTTGAGCTGGTGGAATTATTAACTATAATTTTAAAAGTTAGCATTTTTATTATACCCATAAATGTTTCCAATCATATAGAAGCCAAATATCAACTTACACGTCCAATTTCTCCGTACCATCCAAATAATTGTTGTAATTCATCTTTCGTAACACCAAATGAAATATTCTTTACTAAAATAACGGTATCACTTTTTTCTTTCCTTCCAAAAGAATTCAAGCAAATTCCATTCTTTAAATAATAAAGATTAATAAATCATAAGATAAAAAGTAATAGTAAGGTATCAAGGTGTACATACCATTTCAAGAAACGCTTTAGTTTCTTGGATGATATGCGTCTCCGCAAGGGCAAGTTTTGCGGCCATATTATCGGATTCAGGATCCAAAATTTCGGCTTTTTTTACATTAAATCGGTGTGCTATTGACTCAGCAATTGCATCACTCTGAATAAAAGTCATTTAGTTAAAATATTCGTCCATTATAACATATAATAAAAATATACACTTTTTATTCTTTCTCACATTCATATACAATGTACTCCAATTAAAGTCATTACTAGCTAAGCTTTTCTGCTTCATCTCTCTTTTTTTCTTTAAACTCCATCTACTAGGATCCAAATCTTGAATTACAGGTTTATCTCTAGAAGGTAGAATATGTAATAACCTTCCCATGAAGAACTTATTATCTAACTCAATATAAGCTTTTACAGCATGTTCAGGAATATGATATAAAACATAAGCAAAGCCTTTTTGTTTCTTTGTTTCCTTATCAAGTGGTATATGAACCTTTATCAGAATTCACGCGTTAAAATCATTTTTCAAAAGATAATTTTAATAAATTTTAAAAGCAAAATATACCACTTACTTCAGCGAGTGGACCAAATTTATGAAATGCCTGTCGTAAGTCTTCTTCAGAACATATGTATGGTAAATTTCTAACAAACAATCTACCAGTTTCACCAATGGATTCTTCAGGCGGAACATTCGTAGGTTGGCCAGGAAGATTATCATTTGTCTCGTTATGAGGAGTTATACTTTCCAATTTGTCTGACTTTAAAGTATCATTTTCTCTGTAATCATCATTTTCTTGCGATGAATCAGTATAAATTTCATCATGTTCATTAAATTCAGTGTTTGTAAAGTTTTTACTCTAAATATTCGTAAAAATTATGTATATTATTAAATAGTTTTGATTATATTAGGTAATAATGAAATAAACAGAAAACATCACAATTTACCTTAGAAATATCATAATCATCATCATCATCGTCATCCACATCCAGCCTTCTTCTCATTTTCATTTTAATCCATTCTATATCAGATACGGATGATTCCTTATCCAATTTATCATTATTCTTTGTTGAATCATTTGATTCACTTATAATATCAGATTTTTTCTTTGAACTATTTTTCTTATCATTCTTAATTAACTTATCATTTTCAATTGATAAATCTTGATAAAGTTCATCATCTGAATCATCATCAATTATAACATTTTTCAAACTTTGTTGAGTTTCCAAGATTGTTAAATCATCGTTTGTCCAAGTTTTAGATTTTGACCTTGGTTTCATAACTTCCAAAAATTCTTTAAGCTTTTCATCATTATCATCGTCATCTTTTTTAACCTTTCTTTTTTTTATTTCTATACTGTTAGCCTCTGATTTCTGAAAATGTTTTTTTTGATAACTTGATGAACCAGCGCTATGAGCACTCCAAGGTCTTGGCAACGTTGGATCACAAACCTTGATTAATGAATTCATCAAAATTCGATAAAAAAAAGATAAATTGATAAGAAATTTTTTTGTAAATAAGTGTTAAGGACTTAATTGAATAGTTTAAACATACAGGTTTTGCATGTTCAACAGTAATTCTTGAAGTAAAAATAAAGGTATTATTAAAATAATTTAGAGCGTCATTTGCTTCTTTTTCTGTACGATAACCGATAAATCCGAAGCATCGAGATTTTCCATCTCTAAATTAAATCATTTGATTTCGAAGTAATTAATATATAATTTTTTTTTAAAAAAAAATAGAATATAAAATAATAGCTACGCTGTTCGTATAATCTTTGCATCCGTGACTTGTCCTTTTGTAGAAAAATGGTCACGAAATTTTTTATCAGTTAAATTTGCTGGAAGACTTTTTACAATTAAGCGAGACCTGTTTAATTTGATTATTAGTTAGAATTTAACATTTGTTGGTACTGTATGCTAAAAAAAGGTTGCTCACATTTTGAAAAATTGTAATCTAATCTGATTTACAAAAGATCTATTTAAATTATTTAGTCACATGTTGGCGATCCTATTGCAACCAATAATTCTTGGAAAGACATTCATGATAAATGATCCATAATTGATAAAATAATAGAGAAGTTACTTTCTCTCTAAAGAATAATGCAATTGCCGGAAGTAAAATATAAAGGCATAAGGGAACCATGGGTATTATGGCGCGGGGGATATTGTGGCGCACTTATGTTTTTCGACGATATCTTGCGATCCACTGATCTGAATCGAATAATTTTAGTACCGTTCGATTCGTCTTATCGAGACGAATCAAATGGTATAAAATCGGATTATTTGGATCGATAGACCACAAGATAGATGTAGTGATACAAATCGAAAATCGAAAAATCGATTAGTTGTCAACTAAACCAACTAATCGATTGGAAATTTTTAAAAA